GCATACTGAGCATCTTTCTCTTTGACACCATGTCTGAAATCCCACGTGATCTGTCAAATACTAATGCATGAAAATCCTAACCTCAAAAAAATCACCCATTATATGCACATATTTATTGATGAAAATTTTTACGTAGAGGCTTTATAACGTCAATGAAATCAAGCCATATGAATGTACGTAATATCCCATTTCTTACATTGTAGCATGTTTATTTGATAATCTGTTTGTAAATTTATTAAAATTTATTTTAAAAACGTTAACTATTGTGACGCATTAGTAACTACTTTCCCATCGAAAGCACACTTCTTTACATATGTACATACATACATATCTACATATATACATACGTACACACATACATACGTGCATACACTTCAGTTCACTGCGCCAGAATTCACAAAAAAATCACTTTATCGCGCAATTAAGTATCTGTGCTTTTTTTCTTAAATGAAAATCGTAAAATGCAAACACTTCACATAATATAACAAAAACAAAATATATAGTCAAATTAACTACTTTTTGACAACCACAATTAAACCCAAGAAGATCACTCTTCAAATGCATGTTACTGCATATCTATTACGTAGGTACTATTCCCAAAAGTAACATGTGACCTTTGCGCCCCCATCGTCATCCAGACAAATTAGTCATTAATTTTATTTCATTCGAATAAAAAGCACTTGTTACACAATTCAGTAAGTTTCCATTCTACTGCATAGGTACATACATACATGCAGACATATGTATGTAGATATGTACATATTTCGCAGATCTTAACGCACTTTATCACAAACACACGGCATTTCCGTGCGTATAGCAGTGCAATCTGAACATGCAGTTACGAAATGCCTTCTTCGACCAGCAGCACCTCCCAACAAAAAAGCTTAACCAAATCTGTATGTATTATTATTTTCACTATCTTTTGTTTTTTTTTTTCTTTTTTAGATAAAACACAAATTTTATGTGTTTTCCTCAATAAATCAGAACTCAAAGCCTTTTCACTTGCCCAGCACTCACCTGGAGTGTATTTAAATAATTATTTAGTATTTTTTTTTTATCTGGAAATTTAGTAACACACTAGCTGATATCGCGTTTACGTACCTGCAGCTTCAACTTTAATTTTCACTTTAAGCTTTGCGAGGTGGCGAAGTGGCAGCCGAAAGGTTGAATGGAGGTCGTTGCTTCAAACTGCCATTCAGCTATTCAGTCAACATGCCGGCAATTCATACACTGTACAATATTATTGAAGCTTCATGAAATATTGTGCAATATTTTTGTTTGTCAAATACTAGTGGAGGGTTTTAAATTGTAGAACGGTTCTAGTAGAACTTTGTTTTAACTTAACTTTAACTTAATTTTGAAGCGAAAAAATATCACTGAAACATTTAGATTTTAAAACTATGAATGATTAAAAAAATATTTACGTATTTCTACTAGCAATGACCGCTTAAGTTACATTTATATCAAGTGTGTTGGAAAAATTGTAGTTATCTTATTATGTATTCAGAAAACTAAACAAATCCAGAAATAGGACTATTATTTTTAATAATAATAATGTTTGAAGTGTATCAATTACACAATTATGCAGCTAATAATTTATTGTGCTCATTCAATTTTGTTGGAAGTTTGAAGGAAATGTTGAATTTTGTTCCATTTCCGGTTTTTATCGAAAAGATAAACAGGGTTGATTCGCCGTGAAGAGCTTCAAGAGCTACACCGCAAAAAATTAAAAATTAGTACCATCGATCATAGATTAAAAATTTAATTTAGTATGTGTTAATAGTAAAAATATTGTATGGGGGGAAAATCTGTCGCGTACGTTATTATGTTTTTTTTTTAACTATCCAGAGATAATTTCTATTAAAAAATGGAAAGATTGCAAAGGTACATTATTTAGCTTAGTTTAGGAATTTGTAAAGAAAAGAAAAATTCTCATGATTCGCAGACTTTCGCATATATGTATGTACGTATGTGTGCCTTAAAACCACTTCCTTTTTTTGTCGCATATGTTATCACTTTGTTTTGAACGGATATTTTCTACACCAAAGTTTCGAGGCTGCTTATATCTTTCTCAAACATAGGACCCTTGGATTGCAACATAGCCGTAATCTTGTTTTTCAGTAACTTCTATATTTGAGAGATTTATGTTACTCCATAAGCGTACGAATGTCGCGTACGGCTGCATGGAAACACCCATATGTATGTTTGTATGTATTTACATGCTTTGCAATAAAGAGCTGTTGCTTGTTATTACCTGCTATACCACCAACGGTCAGGTAATTAATTGTCAAACTTCACTCGCAAAAATATTTTAAATGCTCCTGAATTTTGTAAATGTTTTTTTACCTTAGTTACACTAATTCACCACATGCTCGCGGTAAATTCCAAACTACAACCCTGCTTTTGCTTATTCCTTTTGACTACCCTTTATTTATTTGACACTTGTGCACTATTCTTGGCAGTCCATTGCAATATTTTTCACTTTTCACAGTCTACAAAAAGTGGAAGGATAGTGGATATTCCTAGATTTTCTATTTTGTCCGCGTGAATTTACATAAAAATGGATAACTTTGGCAGTGAAATTGGCCAAAAAATGAGAGTAAGTTAACAGATGCAACAGTTTTGAAATGTTCTAGTTATTAAAACACTTCAAGCGTGGCCATTGTTTTTTTGGCACGATTCTTATGTTGGTAAAGGGTAAACTGTCACGGATTTTTGCAATATGAGAAATTTATTGATTAAACATCTGTAAAAATGTGCTACGAATCAATTCCTTAATTCACTAATTCTATTTAATACTTTTCAGAGTGCCGTAAAGGCCAAACTCGTAGAATTAGGCACTGGAGGCACGGCCGGCTACATAGACGATGAACTTCCGGACTACGTAATGATTATGGTGGCAAACAAGCGTTCCAAACAACAAATGGTGGCCGACCTTAACCTCTTCTTAGGCTCGCAAACTGATCTGTTCGTAACTTGGCTGCATGAGGTGCTTCAAAAGTTGCAAGAAGTCACACTGCCGGCAGTTAATGGTATGTAGTAGAATATTTGCAATATAGGTATATGTAGCTATATTAGAAAAAATCGCACGAACTTTCATTACTTATATGCAGCAACAAAAAAGCGCAAAGCCGAACCAAAACCAGACTTGGCCAGCAAAAAGGATCGTAAGACTAGCAAGAGAGATAGGAAGACGTCTACATCAAAAAAATCAGCCGATGAGTTGCAAAGTTCCTCCGTAAATACTACAGATAAATCAACAACCGCCACAAGCACAACAACATTACCACCCATCAATTCAATTACCGACGTGTTTGCTGATGTATTGCTCGAGAAAGCAAAGAAAACACTAAGCACAAATGCCGAGGCTGCCGCTCACATTAAAAAGGCCAAAGGTGGCTCCAAAGCTGAAAGTAATGAAACCGCGGCAAAAAGAGCTACAAATGAAAAATCCCTCTCGGAAGCAGATGCTGCAACCAGCAAGGAACAGCGATGCAATGGTGGTGGCGCGGATGCTGCTGGTGCAAATAACAAGAAAGGGATATCAAATGCGCCAGTTAGCAGTGGTAATCGGGAGAAAGACTTGGCTGAGTTGGCTGAAATACAAAAAAAAATATATGCAGCTAAAAAACATTTGCGCCAGCTAGGTGAATTGGAAGAGAACAGTGATTATGATGAAGACTTCATTAATTTAAAAGAAGATGGCATGGATGTGGATGAGGAAAGCACGAGCCCAAAAGAAGCTGAAAAGGTATTTATGATACATAAAGATTAAATGGACTGCTTTCTTAATCAATTTTGTTTGTAATTTATTAGGCTACAAATACACAAAATGAACCAAATAGCAGTAAGAGAAGAAGTCCGATTATTTTCGATGCAGGAGACAGGAAAACGGAAGGCCCAAATCCTCCAGCAACAGAGCCAGCAGAAAGATCCTTAAATTTCACACCACCTCCTCCAGAAAAAAGCTCAACAATGATTAGTACTAGGGAACACCTAGTGCCCAGTAGTGGCGGACGTAGTCAACCACCACCAAAACAGTTAAGTCACGAAAGGGAACGTGATCGCGATCGTGAACATAGTCGAGAAAATGATAAGTCATGGGATCGGGAGCGTGACCGCGATAAACGAGAAGGACCGGCTGAAGCGCCTAAACGACCAGTGCATGAACGATTGGGCTTACGTCCACCAGCAGCTCGCGAACCTCAACCTCCAGCTCGTCGTACACGGGAAGATAAGCAGTTGTTTGTGCCCTCATTCCGTAGGAAAGAGAATGAAAATGAGCGTGATAAAGAACGAGATCGAGAAAGGGAGCGAGATCGGGATCGGGATCGAGATCATCTAAAAGAAAGGGAACGCGAACGTGAGAGAGAACGTGAAAGGATAAGAGAGAGAGAAAGACAGCGAGAGCGGGACCGCGAACGGGAACGAGAACGAGAAAAAAATCGTATTGCAGCGCGACCGCGTGGCAGAAGTGAAGATAGGCGTAAAGATCGTGATTTGGAACGAGAACGTGATCGCCAACGTGATCGCGCCAGAGGCCGAAGCCGTGACCAAATTAATAGACGTAAAGAAAGTGAGACTAGAATGCGGCGCTCGTTATCGCCTATACTACGTCGCACCACATCTAATAGCGACAATCGCACACTGCCCAACATTACGGTGTCAGCTGTAGTAAAGCCACACTATGCCAAGAAAAATATTGCCGAGAAAAATAATGATGGAGATGATGATGATGATGATGATGATGGATCCTCATCATCCTCTGAATCGTCAACGGATAGCGACGAAGAAGGTAGTGACGATGACGACGCGGCATCCTCACATTCGCCACAGACACACCGTCAGCGTATTGGGTCGCGTGTTATAGTGGCGCCAATTAAACAAGTCGAATCATCCGAGGAAGAAGAGAAACCTTTGAATTCTATAATAAAAATTAAGCCTCGTGCGCCAGTGTCACCCAGCAAGCAGGCTTGCAAAACGTTGCTACTGCGTGCCGTTGCCGAAGCGCAACGTTCCACTGTTATGAAGTCACGAAACAAGGAACCGAAGGTGGTACCAATTGTTAAGGGTAACATCGTGAAAGATCCTACTGATGAGCGTAAACTCTACACCAAAGCATATCGCGAGCGACTAAAACGGGGCGCCAAAGTCACCTCCACTTCGTCAACCACTTCGAATTTATTCAGGCGCGCAACACAAAATCTTGTAATCAAAGTGGAAAGCGATATGCCTCTGCGTAAGCGGCGGCGCGCTCAAATGAATGCAGTTAATGCTGGTGACGAGGAAGGGCATAGTGATGGAGAGGATGATGAAGAAGAAGAAATGGAGGAGAAGTATGTGCCAGGTGCGATATTCCAACGCGTTGATTCAAAACTCGAGTATATGTACGTACCTCAAATGATACGTATCAAAAGTGAGGAACAAGAAAGTAACGAAAGTGAAGGGTAAGTTGTAATTTTTGCTGGATTTTTTTTTATATAAAATTTAACAATGATGTTATAAATCCGCAGTTCCGATGACACCAATGAAGATGCCAATGAAAACGACAAGAGCCCAGTGGATAAGGGATCACAAAGAAAAACCCAATTTGTGGTTACGCTGAATGGTGAGTTCAAGCAGCAATGACATTAGTTGCGAACATGGTTTAAAATGTTTAAGTACTCACTTTCATATCTTATGCAATTACAGATGAAAAATCTGCATTGAAATTCATGAATAGAGCTGCTTTGAAACGTGTACGTTCCGAATCGCCATTACAACAAGTGTCATCTTCCTCATCGGTTTTGCGTTCTAAACGGGCCGAGGCATCATCGACCACTACAACCACAAAGGCCACGCGACGACCAGTTGCGCGTGCAAACGATACGTCGCGTCGTTCAAATATTAAATCGCGTCTATCAGCCAAAGTGGTGGCATCGTCAACTGTACCACGCAACAGCGATCACGAATCATCGAACTCCTTGCCGGGCACACCGCCACTACGACGATCTGATTTAATTGAAACTTATCGCAAGCCAAAGGAGGTTAAAAAGATTATCATTAAAAATGATACAGACGATGAGGAGATGAGTCCAAAGAAATTGTCATCCACTATTGTTATTGGCAACGATGGCCAGCAACGCAAGAGCAAAGCTGCACACAGCGAAGAGCGAAGCAATAAATCAACGCGCTCTGCTACGCCTCCTTCGGCAAGAAAATCTGAGCTAATCCCGAAGGCGAAGTCGCCGCCTAAACGTAAACATACGCCAAGTAGTAGCCAACGGGATATTAGATCACATGATGGAAATTATACCGATGATGACGATGCGCCGGCGAGAAAACGACGCTCCAAAAGCGATGATAGCGCACAGGAACGTGAACGTGAGCATGAGCGGGAGCGGGAGCGTGAACGTGAACGTGAACGTGAACGGGGACGAGAACGAGAACGCGAGCGTGAGCGTGAGCGTGACCGAAATCGTGAGCATGAGCGTGAGCACGAACGTGATCATGAACGTGCTGCATCGCGTGATTACTCGGCTGATCGCCATAGTGGCGAGGAGCGCCGCAAGATCTCAACGCGCAATATGGAAGCGAAGAAGTATGACAACATACCGTCATGTGAGTATTATTTTTATTTAATAAAAGAACTCTTGGCTGGTTATAGTTATGCTTCAATTATTATAATTGAATCATGGGTTGTTGTTATAGTCGACTAAACATTAATATATATTTCGACTACATTACAGTGAGTTCCGTCACATTAGACTCAGCAGCAGTGCGTGTTATGAAAACAAAGGAACGCTGTAAATATCACCCGACTTGCACAAAGCAATTTTGTGATTATTATCATCCGACGGCGCCATGCAAGAGTTTCCCCAATTGCAAATATGCAGACAAATGTCTATACTCGCATCCGCACTGCAAGTACGATCTCGCCTGCACGAATCTTGACTGTAACTATGCACACAGTGGGCCGCGTGATCCGGCGCAGCTGGTGCCGCAAGCGCCGCCCTTATGTAAGTGATGAATGTAGCTTAATTTTGTTTAATTCTCTGATAGTTATTAATATTTTAATTAATTTTTTACAATTTCCATAGCTTCCCATGTCGTGCCTGTGCAGAATTACAAATCGATTTCAGCCACAGCTGCCGCCAACACCATGTGCAAATACTATCCTACATGCACCAAGGTGGGCTGCACCTTCTATCATCCCAAAGCATGTCGCTTTGGCAAAAACTGCATTAATAAATTGGAGTGCAGCTTCTATCATCATGAAGTACAGAGCAGCAACAAATTTAAATGGGTCGCATCGGTTGTTTAAAACCAACCCATTGCTGGGTTCTATATTCGCTTCTAACGTACAGATTTAGTAAATATATTTAAATTTTGGATGTGAATGTCATTGCTACAATGCAAATTTATTTATATTTACAACTAAAATTATAAAAATTATTGCCACGTAGTCATGCTTTACGTAAATACAAATGAAAAAGGGGAACAAAAACAAAAATATAAAAATTTTTAAATAAATAAACAAAATAAAAATTCTCGCATAATAATAAATCAACAGCATACATACATATATTGTAAACTATATATAACTATACAAAATGATATCGAAATAGTGTTTGCAGTGATTTCTTGAAAAATACATAGAATAGTAACCGTTTTTTGAATTTTACGGCTTATCAAGTAATTATAAATGCAAACAAAAAATGTAATAAAGTTATAAATCAGAAAATGGGTGCTTTTTTCTTGTTATCGCATTCCAAGTAATTTTAAGAAATTTTAAAATTTTACTCAACAATATTTAATTCATTACAAATCTAAAACCTATTTGATTCTGCTTACACTTTAGACGCGTAAATGCCTCGTAACTGTGTAAAGCTCGCAAATAAACCGGTTTCGCATACAAATTAATTAATTAATTAACTGATGAATTAAGTGGAATTAGATTCTTCAAACATGTGGCAACCCCGCAAAATATGGGTCTGAAAAAAAAAAATTCAAACCCACTTCGATTGATGCTAAACATTTCTTATTACTCCTTCATTTCATATAACTTGTGTATAAGTAAACTAAATTCAACATTTCAAGCAGATGGCAACCCTGTTCAAAATACTACTACTTTCTTCAACCCCTTTCGTTTGGCACCCATGCGTACAAATTTCTCTTACCTAATTCCCTTGGTTCAAATTGAATTTGATTTTTTAAACAGGTGGTAACCCTCCCACAGTTCAGCTAAGAAACAAAGCTTTTCAAATCATTTCGATTGGTACCCATTTTGTCATATATTTAAATAATTTGAATATAATTTTTTAAAAGGTGGCAACTCTTTTCAAAAAAGGAAAACCTAATTGCACATCTACGGACCAAGGTTTTAATTTGACACCTCATTTCGGAAGATCGAACGAACGGTGCGGACACGATGGTATTCATCATATAATAATTTAAGTTGAATTGTTGACTAGGTGGCAACTCTATTCCAAAACTAAAACCAGTTTACCAATCTACAGACCAAGCGCTTATAAATTTGACACCTCATTTCTGAAAATCGGGCGAACGGTATAGATTTTTTGTCCTGGACCAAAAATCCATTCGCGTATTATATTCTACTTATGTAGATACTCAATACCCTAAATGCATCTGGACTTAGGGCCAAATCTAAATTTTTCGAATATCGAATAAACCGGATTTTATTATCGAACAAACCGGTGTTTTCATTTCATACATATCTGGTCGTCTCAATAAAAGTTTTGAGTTTTTCGCAGTTTCCAAGGCTTTTTCGAGTTTAAGGGAAGACCCCTAAATACTTTTAAAATTATATCCTAGATTATTTGGGGATGGACAGTATGTCATGTTTGGTGCTTAAACGTTTTCTGCATGTTTTACCGAAGGAGGAGAAGCTTCAAATCGTTTTCTGCTTGTTGATGTTGGGACTCAAATGGAGAGATCTACAATTTAACTCCACCTCCGAAGAAGCTTTTTTTTGGTAGAAGTACACTCGAGGCTTTGCCAATGTCTTCCGAGGGGCGACTGCTATTTGAAAAAATTTTTGTTTTTTTTTATATTGCTGCTAACAGAAATTGAACTATGGGCCTCCCGAGTGTCAGTAGACACATCTAAGTACTCGGTAAAGCGGCAAGACCGAATCGGAAATAATTTAGTAATTCAAATAAGACCAACCGTGAATTTTTCATTTATTTTTAATTGTTTTACTTTTGATCCAAAAAAAACTGCACCTACTTTGTGTATATACTTTATTTATATATTTACTGTTCATAGTTTTATTGTAATTTTTGGTCAAGACTTTATCAGCCCAATTCTTAATATTCCCGGCGAGTTTGTTCTTTGGGAATTTGTTTCTCCCGAGAAAGAAATCTCCAATAATTAACTCCCAGGGAATAGCATTTTCCCCGAAAACTTGGGAGGAGCAAATTCGAGTTTCGAAAAAGCTGTTCGACACTCTTTTGAGAGCTCAACTCCGCCATTTAATATAAAAAATCTTCAGGGATTTTTTTTCATGATAGGAGGAAAGGGAAAAGAGAGAAAACTCCCAGGGAGTTTCTGTTCAGAATCGGCCTGTATACCAACATAAGCACTATCATTTTCTTAATTTGAAAGTTGGAACTGTTTTTCAAATTGCAACTTTTCGAATCACACGAAAACCGGTTTTAGAAAAACGGTGAATAATTGATCACCACCCTTTGCCATATTATTAGCTCAGGGTGAATCTCTCTAAGCCACGAGATAGAAGTTTTAAGAATAGACGCTACCTCGGGAATCTTGCCACAAGTGTCACTACGCGCAACCTCCAAATATCTGACGCTAAGTCAAAAGCCTGGTCGTACAAAGTAAGACTCGACCTAAATGAAGAAATTGATAGATAGCCAGCAAAAGATGCTAGGTGGCACATTCGATATCGTCCGATCGGTGCGAAATAGACTCGGAAGCAGAAAAAAGGTTCACAAGTCGTTCATCGGCAGCCTTTGGAAGAAGGATAACTAGTTCCTGCTCGTTACATACATACATATGTATGTAGAAAAGAAATCGGCCGATATGTAGCACAATACGCGGCTCCAGTGTGAACCGTCGGCCCTTCGAACCGTGACTGGGTGTCTCCTAATAACTTCTTCTGAACAATACCACACGACGAAGCGACAGCATGATGCTGTCCAAACTGTTCTTGTTGAGTCTTGATGGATCGGACAAAATCGCATTATCACTTAACGTAAGGATATAGGATGATTTCTCTGTCAGATAGGGAAGATGAATAAAACAACCAACTAGCAACGCTGCTTTAACAACAACAAAAACCCTTCAATTCATTACGCAAGAATAAAAAATGTCATTCATAAAAATGAAATATGCACACCTACCTCTGCTTTCTTGATCCACAAATGTTTTATTCACTTAGTTGTGTTTAATGTTTAAAGCACTGTATTAAATTTATAACAGTAGTATTAAAGTAGTAATAACAAAACCGATTACGAAAAGATTTACTAAAATTACAAGGTATTTATGATCTTCAAAATTCATAGCGGATAGTTACATACATATGTATGTATGTATGTACATATTTTTATGTATGTACAGTTAGTATTTCTTGTATTTGTTAAAATTTTTGCTCGTGTCCTATCATGTTTTATTGGCCTACTTATACATATACATTAGACTGCATCACTCTCCATAAAAAAAAAAATCGGTACTGTTTTTCCATTGGAATTATAAAATCTATTATAATCTAAGACGTCCACCAAAATATTTCAGGAAAATATTAAGATTTATGCGAACTGGACCGATTTGAAAATACTTCCAAAAATGGAGTTTTTTATGAATAAAAATAGTTTCTTAAAGAAATTTTTGAAAAAAGTTCACTCAGATGACAAAACAGATTAGGCTTAAAAAATTTGCATAAAAATATTTAAAAACCTTTTCAACGGAATCGTAATAATGAGATTTTTTATGCTGTTTTCTTACTTTTTTCAAACTTAATTTTTCGAGGTATTTTCAAATCGGTCCAGCTCGCTTAAATCTTAATATTTTTCCGAAATATTTTGGTGCAGTCTAATATACATACAAACGTATTTGCAAGTGTAAATACATACATATGTATGTATATATTTTCTGTATGCAATATGTACATTAGCGTTGCTCAAAAAAATGTAGTCTGAATTTTCCGAGGAAATGGTGTAGAATTCTTCAAAATGAAAATTTTTTCGATCGTAAAACTCAGTCTTTCTTCAAAAAAACTTCCAACATTAATACCCAATTGTTTGTTTGGCCATTTTTTAATATCAATTATTTGTTATATGTCTCCCACAACTACAAAAAATTCAATAGTGACACGTATAAAAAATCGTAAGTATTAAAAAATGGTAACATAAACAATTGGGTACTAACTAGTCTTTTGAAAAGAAACAGAGTTTTTCGATCCAACAAAAATTATTTTCAAGGCTTCTATTTTATTTCTACGAAAAATTGCTTGTTTTTCTCATATTTTGATTTCGAAAAAAACAGGGGTATATTTTTCGATATAAATAGAACAATTCTAGGTGGTGAGAGCATTAAAGTTAGGCCTTTACTTTTTTCCACATGCATTTTTTTGGGCCACCCTAATGTACATATATACATAAGCTTATGCATCTGTGGTGTTAGGCATAAAAATGGCAAATTATTTTTTCCGTCCTTTTTTGTTGCTCACAGTTCCAAATTTTTATAACAAATTGATGTTCAGATCTTGTTTAATGCCACTAAGAAGAGGGCGATGAGAAGGCAACATTTTTTGTAGAAACGAAATCGCCATAACACAACATCCCCCAACAACTTAATACCTGTTTACAGAATGCTAGGAAAAATGGGATTGGTTTATTTCGAGAAGTGAAGTGAAGCGAAGTTACACGGAAATGACAGAAGGTCAGAAATGACAGGCCAGATCTTGATTGAGTCAACGTCTTGGAGGACAGCGAGGCTTCTCTCCTATCCGCCTAATATCGTAAAGCTTTGCAGGTGTTGATAGACGTATACATCATGCATGATCACAAAGACACAACATGCTTACACGAAGAGAAGATCGATGACTAACGTCCTAAAAAAATGTTTCGATTAGAGGCGGCTTTAGAGTATGGATAATTCTCGTTGGGACGTAGAAGGGGTCTATGACAATGTCTCAAAGCTAGCCTTTCATAGATAAAATGACGATGGTAGGGGTTCGGATAAGCAGTCTTTTGTGTTGCAGAAGTGGCTGTGCAATGAGACATGCCGCAATAGCTGTATTATGGCCACTCCTGTGGCCGCTGGCGGTAAAGAGGATACTAAACAAAATGGATGGAGGAGCTGCCGAGCTTACTGCATGAGCGTAGAATATTTCTGTCATAGTAAGTAGGAAGTGTATGTCCGTAACAGCTCATTTATGAGCCAAGTACTACTGGAAATACATCTTAAGATAACCAAAGAAGATCTGGTACTCTTCACACGGAAGTAAAAGGTTCCGAATTGGCCTAAGCCTAAGCTGGTTGGTGTGACCCTCCAGCCGAAGCAAATCACCAAGTATCTGGAAACAATACTCGACAGTAACTTTCGTGACGCCTCAGAGGGCGAGAATACCTCAGTGGCTTTCAAAGCTGGACTGTAACTGGGGCTTATCGCCTTCTCTTTCTTACTGGATCGTCACGTCGGTAGTAAGGCCGATACTGTTCCACTGGTTATTCGTTGGGTAGATAGCAATGTAGAAGAAAACACTTCTTTAAAGAATAGAGAGTGTATTTAGGCTATCAATGATCGGCATGACAGAACCATTTAGCACTACACCGACGGTAGCACTTTATATATATTTTGTTGCATCTATTGCCGTCGGACTTATCGTTTTAGAATAAAGCGGCCAAAACTGTGCCACCAGGCTCAATGCTACGGGGTAGTTCGTGCGTAGTACCTAAGGGCACATTAGTATAGCGTCAACTTTGCCTAGACGGATTGACTACATGATTCCGGATCTGCTCTGCAAGCCGAACCCTGAACTATGGAGATCGAAGGCTAACATGACGGCTCACGGAACGCTGGCTCGGTGATTGTTTATGCGGACGGTCGAGGATGGAGAAAGGCGTTGGATCAGCAGTCGTCTGCGCTCAGCTCAGTCGCAACAAATCCTTAACAAATCCTTTAAACTGCCTGAACACTGCAGCATTTTCCACGTGTAAGTACTGCCCTAAAGAAGGCTGCGGAGCTACTGTGCAGAAACCTATCAAATAAACCGGTGAATCTCCATATCGACAGTCAAGCTGCAATAAGGACTCTATTATAGCACAGCTCTTCGCCAATAAGTGTGGCAGGGTGCGGGGTAGCCAGAGATGTGCTACTGGGTTCCAGGGCTCCCTGGTGTCACGAGTAACGGAAATGCCGATAGGCTTACCAAATAAGGCGCTCTGTCAGAAACATTGCTGATAGAGGAAGTGCCGATTTAATGGAAGCTCGAACTGTCCATGATCCCGAAAGCGCAGAAGGTGTGAATCAAAAAACAAGCCTGCAAAGTGTCCAGATCGTATGACATAAGGCTCGTAAAGTTTTTACCATCCCTCAATAGGGAAGATGCTACGCTACTGTTTGATCATCTAACGGTACATTGCCTGCTGAAATCGCACGCCTTTAAAGCGGCTCTGACAAATGATAGGATCTGTAGGAGACGCTGAACGAAAGATTGATTGATAAGAAAATAGTTCAAACCTCTTATCTGAACATTCAGTTGCAAGGAAACTATAAATTACATTGCCCCGAACTTGATGATTTTCACTGCAACCTGGCTGTTCATTACAAGTGAAGAAAGTGCAAAGATTTCGTGTTCATAGCTTTAATGTTACTACAACTATAGGGAGTCAGATTCTATGAGTTAAAACTCGAAAGAAGAAAATACTCAAAGTAAAAATTTTGTATAGTCGTTCTTCTGGGTATGCAGTTACAATTGCACTGCTACACTCAATCTCAACTCTTGTGCCCTCGTTAGCGCAATCTGGGCAATGTGAGAAACCCATAAATAATCCGAGTAAAGCCTTGGGCCACGGCAGAAAGAGAGGGAGCTCCGGATGGGGCCACTACTCCCACTCAACTATTCGGTTGTAGGGTGCACTGAAGTCTGCAGCTATGTTAACCAGTAGGTGCGGCTGCAAGCGGGCGTCTGTCTTAGAGCAAGCGGCTCGCTTTATAAACGTATGTTCGGTTGAAAAACCACTCATCCCTGCAATGGTTGTGCGCTGCGCTTGGGACCCGCTCCCCTCGCATATAAAGCAAGGACTGTGATTAATAACTCTTGCCAATAGATGCTACTCGGAAGGCAATTGAAGAGCAGAGCTCTTTCTCGACGAAAAAAAAAAATTACGCTCTACAAATCTCTCATTGTGCAGAAACGTGGGCGAAGTCGAACAAAGATGAGAATTCTTTGTGGACTTTTGAGTGAACTATTCTACGCAAGATCTATGGCTCTGTTCGTGTGGGCGACGTGTACCAAACAAGATGACGGAATGACGAACTCTACGAGCTTTTTAACGACATGGACATAGTCAAGTGCATACAAATACAGCGATGGCGCTGAAAAGATTTTTCGATTCGGCCGTGGTTATGCCACCAATTTTAATTGGCAATCAAAAGAGAAAAATTTCGGTGATTGGTGAGAAGTGGTTAGGCCGTGGTTATGCCACCAATTTTAATTGCCAATCAAAAGAGAAAAAAATTCGGAAAAATTGCGGTGATTGGTGAGAAGTGGTTACGCTCTGTTTGCTGATTGGCGAGCACAGGGTTGCTTCTTAAGAAATGCCTTTTTCCATTTAATACAATTTCGCACACAATGGCAGCACTGAAGTAAAAATGCAACTAAAAATGCATTAAAATTGAAGCGGGAAAATGAAAAATGGAAGAACAACTTAATATTTTTTTTTTATTTAATATTTAATTTTTATAATAATATTTTTTTTAATATCTACTTTATAATAATAATAAAAAAATATTTTTTACTATTCTAATATTTAATATTAATACTTTTTCTCAAAACAGCGTATTGCCATCCTGAAAAATTGGCGTGCTGGCTATTCGGTTCACCCAGAAAATCGTGCTGGCTGTTCGATTTCGAAAATTCTCTCACTCCGTGCTGTGCACAACAACAATTGCACGGTGATTGCCAATCGAAATTGGTGGCGTAACCACGGCCTTCGGCACCCATGGGTGGACAACGAAAGCAAGGGTGCCCGCGAACAAACTAGACGGACCAAATGCGGAAGGTCCTGCCAATTTGCGAACGTTTTTGGTCTTGGCTCAAACCGACAAAGGGTTTGCCAAATAATATTATGAAACTAGTTTTTATAGATTTTTTTTTTTTATACTAAAAATTCGTTCCCCAGTTATCACTCTGGGACATGACAGAGCTTCTATGACACAACGACATAGTCATAGAGCAACAAACTTAAATACAGCGACTTCTCTGGTCCGGTAATGTCGTACGAAGGAAAAGACCGGCATTGCCAATCGGTTCAGTTGGCACAAAAAAAACACACTTTTTAATTTTCAAAGGTCTTTATTAATATTACATATAAATTAGTCGATTTTATATAATACAGTCTCTAAGTTAAATTACGCTTGTATTAATTAATGTATATATGTATGTTTGTATACGCATGTATAGTATAGCATAATATATAAATATACGTATGTTTTCATAAAAAAATTTAAATAACTTTAACTTTTAAATATTTGCAAATTGAAATATGAATTTATTAACGTTATACTTATTTAAAATAAGGCCGCGCAATAAGGCGAAAGTTGCACACATTTGTTTAGAAAATTTGATTTTTTGTTTGTTTATTATTCATTACTATGAAATGTTTTCTTATCTAAACCACTTTAATATACGAAATAGTAAATTTAGCTTTAATTTTTATAAGTGCACTTTTGTTTTAATAAATTTTCTATACTTAATTGTCATATTTTCGATATGTAAGTATGTACAGATATTTGTATAAAAGTGTGTATGTGTTTGTATAAGTAAATAATTTTGGAAGTCCAGGTCCATATGGATTCGAATTGATTGGTAGTAACAATTGAATTATGCATTTAATTTAATATGTTTTCGTAATTTAATTTATCTACTATTAAATTCTTGTCAGTAAATTTATTGCTCGCTTGGCCTTAAAGCACAATACTGAGGTTTTAAACCTTATAACTATATAACTAGCAAAAAAAAAAAACACATAAAATAAAATAGTAAATATTTTGAAATATGTAAGTATCTATGCTGCGGTTCTGCTGAGCACATGAGTATCTACATACCTACATACATTCGTCGTCGAAAAATATCATACTTACTGCAGTATCTACTACGTACATATGAATGTAAATATTGCTGTTTTATCATTAAACTTATTAACAAAATTATTAATTTCTTATTTAAGTAAGTATACCAGCGTTCGAACATGTTTCACAAAATCGGCTGCAGCTTATTTTAGTGTTTAATCGCTCTTAATAAATTTTTTTTTAACGGTTTCACCCTTCCTAGTACATGTATTAAAGTCTTAAGAAATATTCAATTGTTTTTATGAGCAAGTGTATGAAATACTTTTCAAAAATACGTGCGGGAGTTTTTTTTAAAATCTTCGACTTGCAATATTTTTTTTGTCAACTTCGTGGGAAACTGCGGGCAATCATAATTTTTTGACAAATAACTGCAGTTTTAGACTCGCGAGCATACATTTTCAATACACGCGCGCACTTTTTCGACTCCTTGATGCATCTGCCTCCACCCTTTCATTAGTTTGAGTAAATTTCGTCTTTGCTAAGAGATTTTTTTCTGCTTTTTAACGAAGTGTTTGGTTCGCGATCATCTAAAAATTCAAATATTTTTTTTTTATCTACTCACTTTTTGTACTCTCGAGCATAATTGATTGACAGGCGCGCCCAATTGTTCGAACCGCCGAAGCATTTTCATCCCCACTTTTATGCGCTCGTCTCAAATTATTTAAACGTAAAAGCTTAATTATTGACTATAACTACAATTAATGGGCGGATAAACACATTTAAATAAGTCTACAACAAGATATTTTCTTTCTAGTTTTCTTCGCTTTTTGATTTCGCACGTCTCCAGACAACATTAACTAGTTTGTAGTTAAAAAATGAAATTAACAACATATCTTGTCTCCCTCATAGAAATTTCCAAAATCGGCCAGTTACTGCAACTAAATGAGCCTCTCCTCTGGTGGCGGTTTTAGCACATTGTCCATCTCCAGTCGCGGATTGCAGTACTCTTGCGCACTGGGACTGTAAGTGCCGCGCGTCGCACGCTTATTACGCGCCATAACTAGGAAGGTGCCCAACAGCGCAGCACCAATAAGCAGCAGCACCACCACAACGGGTATCACGATGATGGCAATGTCGGCGGTGGAGGGACCGTCATCTTTGGCGGCCATCTGCGCGCATAAATTCAAAATTCCATTAGCAACTTAAGCTATTTTTCCCCTTCGCTTATTCTACTCACCACCAACGCGCAGTCCTTGCCCTCATAACCGGTGGTGCAATTGCATGTGTAGTCTACCTCATCGCCACACTCCTCCTCACAAGTACCGCCATTCATACATGGCGAGTTTCCGTTCTTGCATGGATCGGTTAGATTGCAGTAAGCGCCACAGAAGTTGTCCTGACAAATGCATTTGAAAGAGCCCAGTAAATTGATGCAGCGTCCCAATCCGCCGCAATACTCAATATCCAATGCACACTCATCGATGTCGATGTCGCAGTTAATGCCTTCGAAACCGGTATTCGTGCAATTGCATAGATAGCCGCCGATCAGATCGTGGCATTCACCGTTATTAAGACACGGATTCGGCTCGCACTCGTTGATGTCCTCCTCACATAAACGACCGGTGTAGCCCAGACTGCACTGACATAGCGGCGTCTGTGAACGGTAAAGAAATATTTTGAGAGTAAAGTAAAAGACACAGCAAACATGAGCTTACGAAAGGATCGGCGAGTATGCAAAGGCCGCCATTCTGACAGGGTGTCGTCTCACAGAAGGGCACGTCGCAGTAGGGTCCTTCGAAGCCGGCCATACAAACACAAGTGAAGTTGTTGCTGGTGATCGCATCTATTGGGGAATGTAAAATCAGGTTAATACAAATGTGAGAAATAAAGTTAACCCAAATCACTTACTAAATCCATCCTTGCACGTCGATCCGTTGCGACAGGGTAGATTTTCGCAGGTCACTTGCTTTAACAAGTCACACTGTGTGCCCGCATAGTCATCCGTACACTCACAATGGAAAGCCGCAATGAGATCTGTACAGGTGCCGCCATTATGACACGGCTGCGAAGCGCACTCATCAATGTTATGCTCGCAGAAACGTCCATCATAGCCGGGCAAGCAGCGACACTGAAAGTCCGCCACCCTATCGATGCAAGTGGCGTTATTCTCACAAGTTGCCGTCAAACACTCATCAATATCGATCGAGCAATCGTCCCCCTCATAGCCAGCCAGACACTTGCAGGCATACTGCTCCGATGGCGAGCTACAATAGCCGCCATTTTTACAGTCCGTATTGAAGCAGAGTACACAACCTTCATCGGGTTTGGATGAGTTGAGACGGAATTGCGATTGCGGTTGCACGGATACGTTCTCAGTGCGTGGATACATCTCGGCGTTGGAGAAATATGGCAGCAAAAGATCGCCTACGCGCGCCTCACCCAGGCAACCCTTGAATTGTGAGCCCTGTTGTGCTGAGCTGCTGCCACGCGCCTGCCGGCTATCAGTGGGCATGCCGCCGAGATAGACTTGCGTGTCGCTAGAGAGTAGCTCCTGGAAGGCAAGTTGATCAATGTCCGCCGAGAAGGCGGGCGATGGATCTACCATCCCTTCCCAACCCTTCCAGCCACCTTCGAGTTTGCCGCCCTGCACGCGTAGATAAATGCGGTTCCAGCTGTTGAATAAAGGAGAAGAAAAACATTCACGGTAAGCAAAAATGAAGTCGAACTACAATTGGAAACCTACCCTGGCTCATTCATCAGCTCCATGTGGCTGGGATCGGCTGTATCCTTGGTGAAACGCTTGGTATCGCCAAACGGCTCTTGACTCAGCTTCCAGGTCACAGTAACCTGTCCCTGATTTACGCCGATTTCAAAGAAGCTCTCACCGTACTCCACGTAGAAGAGTGTGCCGCCGGCGCGTGTTCTGTACGCAATCTCTATCACCGGTTTCACCAGCATTTTCGGCTCCTCTGGCGGTTGCTCAACAAAGTAAGTGAACGCTAACGGATTTTTCTCATTGCCTTTAAAAGTGATGTTCGTCAAGCACTCATAACCATCGTCAAGATTCTGACATATACTGCTGCCCGGACAAGTGACCAGTTGACAAAACTCGATCTCTTGACAATTTTTGCCCTTATAACCATTCGGACAGCTGCACACATAATCATTCCAAGTATTGCGGCAATCAGCATTGTGCTTACAGGGATTCTTGCGACACAAATCATCAGTTACCTCGCCTTTCAGCACCGAACTGCGATCTATGGTGACCACACCGAAGGGTGGCGGTAGCAGCAAATCATCCTCATTCAAAGGATACAATTCCACTATCATCGTATGTGAGCCATTGCTCACTTTAACATCCTGTATGATACCCTTGAAATAGGCCTTTTCATCGATTTCCTTGTTGCGCGTAATTTCCTCGGGCACTGACATGGCGGTATCCGTATCAGTAGTGGTTGGTGTTTGAATTGGCTCATCATCTGGCGGTCCGCCGAGATAGAGCACTTGCGCATCGAGTAAACCCGTGGAGGACAGTGTCTTGCGGAAATACTCAGTGCCATTGAGCTTGACTTGGACGAGTGTCTGATTGCGCACCACTTCGATGAGATGATTGTGGCCATTGTCGAGTTTATTGCCACCCACCGTGTAGGCCTCCGGTGTGCCATTGAATTGCATTTTGACCAGCAGCTCGCCACCATGTAGCTCGGCGGCTACAAACGACTCGCCCGTATCACCTATAACGAAAATATTTCGGGTTATGAGAGGATCGCAAAAGTAGATATCGATATCGTTTTTTGGCTGCAAGATAAACAAGGGACAGCGCGAGAAAATCGTTTGTATCAGAGTCATTAAAAGAGTGAAAAGTGATTAATTTTCGCTTCATTTACACCTTCAACGTCGTGTAAACGAACACACGACGTTACCCGCGGATACTGCGCAGTCGGCGTCGCCCAGGCCTGCCCATGATAGTTCCTAAGTCGACGGCCCAAGTTATATTCAGCCTCTTTTAGAAAAGCTCACAGTTTCTTGGTAGATGAATTTCTGACATTAAGGGCATTGACAGTGGAAGAACTGAAGTATTGCACTCTTAGTATGGCCAATGCCGGAAAATAACATATTACGTAATCCGCCGCCTCCTTCTCTTCGAGACAAAAACAATCCGTTTTTGTGGATAGGTCAATCTGGTGCGTGTGAAAGCGTAGGTGATTTTGACCACTTAAATAACCAATAACCAACTTCATGTTGGCTCTATTCAAACGATTTATATCATTCCACAGAAAGCATAACCAGAGCGTAGACTATCTAAGACCCCCTACCTCTCTCCAGTACTTACTGCGTTCTGAATTTACCCATGCCCGGATGATAAGTCTTGAAGTGGACCCACTAAGGCCACAAAATGGTTTCGGTCGGCGAGTGTCCTGGTATCCAGCAATATAGTACCGTGCTCACCTTTTTCTTTTAAAGCCATCTGACCTGTGCGTTTTCTCGACCTAACGAATTCAACTCTTATTTGTCTCATAAGATTTTTCCACCTGCTACTGTTGCGCGGACACTCTCTGTACTTATTTGGAAATAAGAACTTATTCCACTTGCCGTTTTGAATGCCTAAACTATGATGCGGTTATAAGGACTAACCTTAACTCCTCGAGTATGTAGTACCATTGTACAGCTCTTACTAATCTATTCACAAAATTTTTTCGAAACGTTTTCGAAATACTTACTTGTTCCTTTTGAAGCGGATTTCTTTGGATCACTACCCAAATAGAATACCTGTCCAGTGGGCTCCCGTGTACGTATGAACATAGAGATATCCAGTATGGAGCGAATGGCACGACGTGCAGCCTCATTTGTCTCTACAATTACAGCCGAGTGTGTGGTGTTCTCATGACCAAATGTGGCGGCAGTTATATCTAAAAAATAAAAGGAAAAATAAGTTGTCGCTAAAAGAAGCTACCACTACGCACACCTCAATAGGTAACTTACTATATTTGCAGGTGTGTCCAAAATGTGGACGCTGGCAGGTGCACGAGAATGTATGCCACAAATCTGTGCAAGCGCCATTCGAGTGACATGGATTTGGCACGCATTGCTCATTACGCGGACAACCGGCCTGTATATTTGTTAACTTCGTATCTTTTTCGGTGCCTTGTTCCTCGGGAAAAATCCATTTGCCATTCACAACTATATCCTGCATGCAGCCAACGAAACTCGAGGGGCGATGCGGCAAATGACGCAAGTAAGATTTCAAATTGGGTATAGTGCCACCTAAATAGGTGAGTGGAAATGACGGTTGACTGCCGTTGGCGGTCTCATATGAACCCACCGGGAATATGGCCTGCTCATCGTTGGCAGAGAGCACTAAATGCGATGTGTTAATGGCGACGAATACTTTATGCCAGTTGCTATCATTCAGCTTGGAACCGATGAATACGCCCTCCCATTTGTTAAGCAATGAGGAATGTAAATTCAGTCGACCATTGATTAACTCCAATATATAGCTAACGGGTTCATTATGACCAATCGAGGTGCCAAAAGCGAGCACACCATTGGGTAGTGTGGTCTTAAATTGCAAATTGATGTCATAACCTTCTTCGCGTTGCGTCTTCACGGTGATTAGACTGCTCACCACCATTGAAATTGTTGTGGTCTTCTCGCATATATCACCCTGGAAACCATGTTGGCAGGTACAGTTGAAAAGATGTTCGGTTTCATTGACCAAATACGGTTTGCAGTAACCGCCATTCTGACAAGGCGCACTCGAGCAGCCTATCAGGGGTACAGAGCAGTTTTTACCGCCATAATTGGCATCACAATCGCAGGTATAGTCGTTGATCTCATCGAAGCAGGTGCCGTGTGCGCCGCAAGGTTGATATCTATTGAGGATAAAAGAAAAGGTATTAATAGAAGAACATTTTTTTATAGTTAAGTGTAGTGGGTAGTATTTGTGCAGTGGGCTCTGAACACGCTAAAAATGGATGCCACTCACCTGTCACACTCATCGATATTCACATCGCAGTGTCGTCCCTCGAAACCCGGATCGCATTCGCAAGTATATGTGCCAATCTGTGAATACATATTCAAAATATTACTTAAGTGTGTTAAGCGTCGGAATTTGCCGGTAGTGACTTACTCCATCATTGCATGTGCCATGCTTGCCACACGGATTCGTTTCGCATTCATTGATATTGATCTCACAATTCTTGCCCATAATACCCGGCACGCAAACGCACTCGTAACTGCAAGTAGTAAAAAAAAATGTTTTATGGCAAATTTCGAGAAAAAGTATTGGGAGTGCCTTAAGTTTTGCCTATCTAGAAATAGCACTTCAATGTAGCTCAAAAGATCGTGTGCTGTCTAAACTCTCCAACGCCCCGGAACGACTAATATTGGGTTGAATTTTCTTTGGAGTATTACCAAACTTGTTTCGGGACATTCTAGAGGGTATTTAATACTGAATCATGACCCACTAAAGCTGGAAACAGATTCTAGTAATATTTATCTATTCAAAAGTGAAGGCAAGCCAAACCGCTTTTTCGAAGAAGTACGCACGATTATAAGTTCTACTGAGAACAGTTTACTGTACCTTTCTTTAAGATCGAGGGAACCATATAAATGTTAGTACACATTGTACCCCATAAACAATTGGAGATCAAGTAGAGATCCAATGCAAATTCCAGGGTCCAATGTTGATTATCAAGCGTAGGTCAATTGCAGAACCAACCCCTTCTCTAACAAAAGGGCATATTTTTGGTATGCAAAATAATCTGAGTTCTTTACTTGAGAAAAGCTTGGAAATCAATTTGAATTCAAACTTTATTCAACATTTAGTCAAACCTTGGGAAAAATGTTGGAGAAAAATGTAAATAGTTTATCCACTTGGCAATCAAGAATTTATCTAAGATTGGAAAAAAGTTGGAAAAATGTTTGCTTTGTACATATTGGGTATATAAGAGGCGCCTACAGATGCAGGGATGGAATGCTGCATCCGGCCATGGATCGTACTTCTATTTATTGGCGAATTAGTATCCGAAAGCAGGAATAAGACCTTTTTCCGTTGTTATGGCTTGGCTGCTAGTAAGCCGAGTAAATCCAAAGCCGCTGTGGCTCAGTGTTTAGGAGTAAGCACTACCATTCTGTTGGGTCTGAGTTAGATCCCTGTTCCGGGTAACATCTACTTCAGAAACAAGTTTTTTTCTAACAGCGGTCGACCCTCGGCAGGCAGTGACAAACCTCTAAGTGTATTTCTGCCTTGAACAAGCTTCTCAAAAAATCCATTTGCTTTTCGGAGGTCTTTGCTTTCTCCAATTATTGGAGGCGAAGCTCGACCAAATACTTAACAAGAGTGTAAGCGGAAATGTATTACAGAATTTGATCTTTGACACAGGGTGAAATATCTTGACCTAAACTGAGCATTGCAGAACCACCAAGGAATACCTCGGTCTCCCGCTATGTAGATAAAAGAATGCTAGGCAACAGATGGGCATTAAAGCCATGAATTCGATTTCCACAGCTGTGATCTGACCCATACTTTCATATGAAGCGCTTATCTGCTGGCCAGCTCTTACTAAGAATAATTTCGTTAGAAAATTTCATCAAAGTTCAGAGGCCAGCTGCTGTTAAAGCAACTGGTGCAATGAGGTCCTGCCCAAAGCAGGCTTTGAACGTTCTGCACAAGTTTGTACCGATAAAGCTGTTTTTATCGAAAATTTAGTTGCCACCAAGGCAAACAGATTCCACAGTGCAACGTATTGAAAATGAAGGTGGCTCGGCCATAGTGGTATCCTATGACCATGTGACATAAAAGCGCCGCCCACATACTATACCATCCATAGACCAACAACAAACTCTGACAAATTCCCTAGGCGCAATGACTGGACTTACGGAGAGGACCATGCTTAGGAGGCATCACATCTTCACAGATGGAGTAAAGTTGTAATCCGGGTAGGTGCACGGCTTTTGATTGCATAACTTATTTTGCATTTATTGATTTTTTTTGTTGATTTTTCTGAGAGGGTAGAAAGATGATTTATTTTGGAACGCATTTCCATTATACCTTGTCAAGCATTGTTTGGTGCACCATTTTTCGTTCTGTCAATTATCCTTTCGCCCATAAGTTTAAGTCGAAGATTGACGGAACGGACGGTGGAGGCCGGTCAGACGATTAGTTACTCAAAGGCGTGCTGTCGCCAAGGGAGCTAAATATGTATCTACTCTGATAGCCAGGCGGACATCCCGGTTTTGGACTAGTTGCAAGTTAGTATCTAGTGATCTCTCCTTTGGCTTTCGAAGTCCGAAGTTTGATTGCAGATATACTTTATTATGCCCTTGTTCATCACAAAACCCAAATGCAGCTCTCATCACCTTCCCAACATTACACTAATGAAACCACACGACAGCAAGCCATGCATTTTACAAAGCCGTATTAGGGATACCAATCAGTGATCAGCATGCGGTGCCTTTTTCGAGACATCAAGTATACTCGCAAACAATGCGGTGTAAGTATAACCTCCACCGCAAGCAATGCGATATTTGGGTGCATCGCATTTTTTGTCGCGTTCGTGTTTGCGATGACTTGTATGACCAAAGCGTCGTTACCGCATATTGTGGCACCGCATTTTCATGTCGACTTCGGCTATGCGGTGGTATGAGTGGTCGTTTAAACATCGCAAACATCGCATTATTTCCGGATATGCTTGGCTGAATACGGTACACCGCATTATAAGAGCATTTTATCGCTACAGTTGCCTACAGAGTTTGTATGTATGCATGTTACAAAAAAATTAATAGATATGAACAATTAGTCAAATTTAAAGACACAAAATATGTAATATGTATTTTCTTTTAATTCAATTCATTTTTATTTCACTTAAACTCGTATAATGCGGTGCACCGCATTCAAACAAGCATATCCGCAAATAATGCGATGTTTGCGTTGTTTAAACGACCGCTCATACCACCGCATAGCCGAAGCCGACATGAAAATGCGGTGCCACAATATGCAGTAACGACGCTTTGATCGAGCACAAAACACTTAAACACGACATTATTTGAGCTTGCGGTGGCGGTAGATTTCGTAAGTATTACTGAGTTTGAGTGGTACAGTAAATAAATGTCGTTGCGGTGTATTCGAAAATGCGATACACCGCAACTGATCTCTGATACCAATTACAAACAAAGCGGCATAAAGTCAACTTCCCCTCAAGCTGTCGAAGCGGCTTTGAAATCGACAAATGAATGGTATGCGTCGACCCGCTTCACTGGAGTCTTTTCCAAGATTTTTTTAGACCTAAAACCACACTGATTAGGCCCAAAAAGTTCATTGACTGTAGACTTAAGTCTTTCTCATAATACGCCGATGCTTCGAAGACTTGAATAGCTCAACTGGCAGGCCGTCAGCGCCAGCAGCATTGTCGGTTTTCAGCTGCTAAATTATTGATATTCGTACCCTGTCCTAGTCGCGTGGTGGGATATCGATTCTACTATCAACGACTGTGGACTCGGGTACATCGTCTCCACTGGTTTCAGTAGTGTTATCATTCAATAGGCTGTTCGCCGCTACTGTCTTTTCAGCACTCCGTACTGGCCTTGAAATCTTTCTTAAAAATTTTTGGGCGTTTTACCAGTGCGGTGACACACAGTTGGGGAAAGAAATCTATCTGTATCAAAAAATCTCCCTACTCTGGAAATTTTAACCAATTTGGACATGTTTTTCTAAGCGGTCGTTATTAATTTTATTTATAGGCAGTGCTACGTCATGGCACAAACTTATTTATTGGTATTCATGCGGTGAGCCTATATATCATACCGGATACACACTCTTGCAGTTCTCATTTTGAGGATTGGTCGAGCACCTTTGCGACCTACCCATCTTATCTAACCTTTTTCTTTAGAACGACTCAACTTTCTTAATTGATTTTACGATCCTCGAAATTCTTCTTAGTTTACACATAAATATTAAGTGTATTCATATAAACGCATAAATGCCTCGTAACCACTTACATAATTCTGTATGGAACCCCGGATTGTTTACAGGGCTTACGCGGTTAGCCGGTTAGGAATACCTATCCTCTCTTTGTGAGATATTCCCAATTTATTTTTCCCCCTTTTGTCACAAATTAGATAAAAAACTTTTGACGCACTTACCCACTTGCATTCAGATAAGAAAACGGTCGATTAAAGAACTCTGGCAGACCATCCATCGTTTTACTCAACCCATACAAAGTCATATTGGATCGTTCCAAACAATTGCCATTATATAAACAAGGATTACTTTCGCATTCATTGATGTCGGTTTCACAATTTTTCCCAGTGTAGCCTGGATAACATTTGCAACGGTAATCATTTATATCATCTATGCAAGCAGCACCATTCAGACACGGCTGCGATTCACATTCGTCGATATTCAGCTCGCATAGTTGTCCCTCATAGCCTGTGTTGGCGCAGTCACAACGAAAGCCGCCCAATTCGTCTATGCAGTGGCCACCATGTTGGCAAGGCGCCGAAATACAATCATCGATATCGTTCTCACAGAAGCGTCCCGTCATGCCAGGTATGCAGGAGCAGGTGAAATTATTGATCATGTCGATGCATGTGGAGCCCTTCGTGCAGGGATTACTATCGCATTCGTTAATATCGACTTCACAATTGATGCCAGTATAACCTGGTTGGCAGACGCATTCGTAGGCGTTGATCTGGAGAAGAGGTAGGATTGTAAATTAAAGTTTTTAAAGCTAAATTGCTTAGCAAACAATGTTAAGAAATAGGGATTTGGAAGGGTTAACAAAGAATATTTTAGAGCTAAAATTGGTAATGGTAGACATTTTGAATAAAGGAATAATAAAGTCTGGATGTATACTTTTTTTATAACATAGCAAGTTCACATAATAAAAAACTGTCCGACCTGACTATAATCCAATAATTTTTAAAGCTCATAATTTACCAATTCACATTTATAAGGAGAATAACATACCAGACGAAAGTGCTTCCGAAACTATAATCTCGAGAACTAGTAGAAATTTCCTAAAAGATATGTAAATTCGAGAACGCTGAGATTATTTAGGGGCGGACAACCAGACTATTTTCGTAGTTGCATGACACAAAAGAAATGTTACATTTGATATTAATATATCGACTTTTTCAAAGCTTATTGGAATGTTTTCGCGCAAGTTACTGAAAGCAGCTTCACCGCCGTTCCCACAGCCACGAACGCCAATTGCGCAAGGTATGTATTTCTGCAGCGACTTGCTTCATTTCATCCGGACGTATGGCGGAAGTGCGCCCAAACTTTCCGACAGAAGCGGCTGTTCTAGAAAATGAGCACGATCACTTACGTCAGGTTGATCACGGGGATCCCCGCCTAAGGGACCAGCATTTTGAGATTTGGCAACTTGTAAATCAACATAAGCAACATCACCTCTGGTCTGAGCAAGCTCTGGTCAACCGTGAGGTCCCATGCCTCATCGGTCCCGAAGAAATGCGCGAGCTATATTCACATTACTTCCTCCGGTAGATAAGTGAGTGATCCGGACGCTACACAAACTGCCCACAAACAGTGACCACTAGGTAAGCATCGTGGCTTCAACCGTTACCACCCCTGTGAGAGAACAGTCCTTGTTGGACCAGTCAAAAGCGTTTGGCACCGTTTACCATTCCACGTTACTAGAAGGCGTCGAGGCATCCCTCCTACAAGGACTAAAATGGTGGTCGGCGAATTATCTGATTGGCCGATAGTCGTCGTTAATTATTTCTGACGGTGAACAACCCGAACATTTTAGGGGTTACCTTTGGCAGCCTACTTTCCTTCTACGTGCACATAACCGCAATCGCCAATACAGTACAAAGCCGCAACAAGGTCCTCAAGCCGCTCGTCGGCAGCACCTGGGGCAAAGACAAAGAAACGTTGCTGACAACATACAAAGTGATTCGCCGGCCGGTTCGGAACAAACGTACGTACTGACGAGCGATCAACGGCGTTCATAGAGATTCGCTTCACCACTTAACACGGCTCCCGCGCTACTCTGGCCCAGTTACGGTCAGGTTATTTTAACCCCAATGAGCATCAGGCATATGGAGACTCCTCCCACAAAACCAACCACTTTTCCACATGACAGATCAATCGCATTCAGCTAACAACCCACTCCCTTTGGTCCGAACGCGCCGAAATAGCTGGTTTCTTGGGTCTGCCGTTAGTTGAGCTTGACGACAAGGATTGATGGACAAACCTGGGATAGTAGCGCCGCTAGAAAAACCACAACAAGAAAACGTACAACAAGAAGAAGAATGCGCACGCTTGGAAAACCTTCCATTGAGGCTGTCCTGAGGTCTTACATGGGAAAATACTTGAGAGCTTTGGCCAAGCTCATAACGTTAACAAAGTGGTTTGTACCCAAATGTGTTTGTTTTTTACATCGGAAGGTATCGGTTGTTGCACAAAAATGCCCCAACAAGTTTTTGGATGATGCCGCTGGAGCAACAGTCCTTGGCCAGATATGATTCGGGTCGTATCGATTTTTGAAATATTAGTAGGATTTTTCGGCTAGGTCGTTTTTGTAATATTTTTTGGAACGATTTTCGTTATTCCGTGCAAATTTGGTTTAAAGACAAACCAGTTTCGGCGCTGTACGAACTTCAGTGTAATTTTTCGATTTTATGGCTAATGCCGAATTTCCACTAGGCAATGACATGACAACAAATTGAATGCATTTAAAATATGCCATGTGGAAAAAATTTAGTGACTATATTTTTAACGTTAGGACATGAATATTTTTTAATGCCCAACATTGCCACTAAAATTTTTATCATTTAATGCCTATGGAAATCCAGTATAAGACAGCAGCAATTCTAAAGTGTTCACTACAGAGAAAGTTTAGAAATTACAGGTTGTACAAAAAGGTGACATTCTTAAAAAAAAAAATTAGTGAAGATACAAAATTACATAAGGGAAACGCTACAAGCTGTAATAGGGTTAATCCCCATTATTCATTTACAGTTGAGAGAAGCTCTATAATGTTTTTTAACTAATTTTGTGTGCGCTATGAAAATCGGGCCCGTCAGATGTGTTCATACAAGGAAAGGATATACAGGAACTAAATATTTACAAGCAAACCACTGAGTTATAGAAAATGTCTAGGGAGTATATTTCAAGACGATGGAATCTGCTTTTGAAGCAAATAAGTTAAAAGCTCAATACTCCACGAAATTATCCATGACTCACTTGTCTCAAAATCCGATGTTTTCCATATTTAAAAAAGAACAACTATAAACATTTTAAATGCAAAAGACATAGTAAAAAAAAAGAAAACAATCACAAACTCACCTTATTATTGCACGTCGCACCATTCTGACACGGATGACTCAGGCACTCATCCACATCGGAGTCACAGTGTTTGCCCGTAAAACCCGGCGTGCAATAGCACTTGTATGAGCCCTCCTCATTCTTGCAAAT